GAAATAGCCAAGACGGACCAATAGGTCCCATGTTGTCCAAAACATTATGTTACTACATTATGTCATTTCACATGGATTGACCTATAACCACCTAAACTGGAATAAATTAAGACAGTCAAAATACTCAACTACAAAAACTCAATCTGCAAGTGGAACCAAATTTGCTTTTGAAAGCATAGCCTTTCATGTCAAAATTGTTAGCAAACAAACATCTTGAATTAGACCATGCACTTTAGAGTTTATATAAGGCATATAGCAACAAAAAGAAAATTTCCAAGCTAATGCACATAATGAATATTGCCATATCTAACTAGAAATAATAAATAGATATACATTTCAAACTACTGAGCTGGAATTACTATTAGGAACAAAAACATATCATTGAGTATATTTGTATGTCTCTTTTAGATGATTAGACGACCGCATATTTGATGTTTTGTGACTTCTAATTGTTTCGCTGTATGAATGCGTTAGAAAGTAATGAAAGAACAAATCCTAGTGTTAAATTTTACATGATAAAGCCGAAACGTGAACAAAAGATTGGCTAACAGGACCAATGCTTTACCATTTAGATAACTAGTTTAACGTTGAATATTATTTATGATTTCAATATTTACATTTCAAATGTGAATTAGAAGTACATTTTATTCTGTATTTTAATCAAAATATAGCCATACTCAGGTATAAGATATGATACACATAAACATTTTTAAGATACTACTTAAATGTCTTTTTCAATAAAAGAAATTTTTAAATAACATTTGTATCCTAAATTACATGACTGAAGATACAATCTTAAGAATTTCTTTATACAAGTTTCTATCATTTAAAATGAATATTTAGTTAACGTGTCTACCAAAGTTTGGTACTTCTGTTGTATTTTCAGGTACAATCTGATTTCCTGACAATGATCAGACAGATCCTTTAATAGAAGCAGAATTGTTAAGATAATAAGGAAAATAATCTGAACCTCATAATAGAGTTTTTCTAGTGTTTGTGAAATAATACGACTGGAAAAAATTGATCAAAAACAAACACAATCTTTATTTACACACACAAACAAAGAGAAAATGTAGCACACATTTGTATAGAAAGAATCACAGTCGAATTTCTACTAGATTATGCTTAGTCGACCAGAGTTCATTCTCTTAGGACTGTTGTCTGTAGAATCAAAACATAATTTTTAAATATGATCTTCTAATAGAAACAGACCATAAAAAGTGTGCATTAATTCAACAGGTAAGTTTCATATCTTTATCCAATTGACACCGTAACCTTGTGACCTTTGTTCTCTCAAATCATCGGTTGAATGTAACATTTGGAAAATGTCATATCAGCCATAAAAGGATATTACATTCATTAATTCTTCCATCTCAAATGCTATGCTCAATATCCTTTTTGGCAGAACTGACTATCTACTATATGGAAGAAAAAACAAAGCAACTAGCATAAGGCAATCTCAGTAACTTTCTGGAACATGTGTTTCTGGTAAAAATTGCATAGAAACTAGATAAAGGAATTTTTCGTTAAATTCCTATATAACTTAAGCAGGTAGAAAACATACAACATCCACAAATGACACTTCATATATATATAGTTTCACTACTTTCCTATGCTAAAAATAAAAGAACCTTTGGTATACATAAATATATAGTAATAATTCCCTAAACTTTCCTCAAGCTTTATTGGGAGATATTATACTTAAAATTGTTAATTTGTAAAATCCATTTAGCTAATTAAAAGACCAAGTTCATGAGAAAATTTTAAAAATATGGTCCGCTATACATTTGAATAACACTCAGTTTTTTTTAATTATCTTATTTTGTCTTTTTATATTTAAAACATACATAAAACAATATATAACATCTTAAAAAAATATCAAGCCTAAACTTAGTAAAACAGCAGAACATATTACTTAACCAATAGTACCAAATAAAGAGCAATAAATCTAAAAATTACAAGGAAGGTTCATAGATTACATTTATTTATATTAACTGTATCTTTAGTTTATTTTTGAAGTGCACAAGTTAACATATATAATTGATCGAGGGTTTGTATTATTCAAACATATAAGGGTACATATTTAGTGAAGGCACAACTAAATACTGTATGGGCTGAAAAAGTATTTCAGACATTTACTCACCTTTCTGCAGAACAAAAAACTCACACCACTGCTGTGAAGATTTTTGCGTACACCACAAAACTTGAATGAAGCTCCCACCCCTACATGTATTAACATGTACTGTGCCAGCCTATTACATTTTCCTTTACATTAAAATATAGCTCTCCACCAATAGGTGGGTGACACATCCTCCATATATGGTAATCCCCATGAGCACTAGCATTTCTACAAAGGCTCATTCTTGATGAGGCAAAATAAATACACTAGAAGTGAGAAGGTAGTGCAGATGAGTGAGTACCTATCTGAAATACATTTTCTGGTATGAAAATATTAACTTCAGAAACATTTACTCACCCCTTCTGCATAACAAAGAGCTACAATTCCACATTGGGAAGATGGTGAAGTGGCTGGTGCAGATAACAAAATTACAAAGATGAGCTCCTTTCTGAAAATATAGTGTCATAACATGAAAATTCATAGAATGTATTACCCACTAGTGGCATAACCTATTGAGGCATCACTAATTTGGATATTCAGTTAAGTCTACAAGTCACTCCATGTGAGCTCCACCATCTAATTTAAGAAAGGTGAAACATTTCCATAAAGGAATTTCAACATACCCAGCACAAATAAAAAGTCCTCTGTAAGTGAACCTTAGTTCCTACACTATCATTCAAAGAAGTCCATAATTTGAAAGTGACAAATTAGATTCATTGCCAAACTGGGCAGGTATTTTCACCTGGAAAGATTATCTTATATTACAGAAAAATCATACCTTATTCAGTTATAATTCTCTGACGCAAAATACATTTGGTTTTTAAAAAAGTTATTCGAAATCAATTATTACTATTTTGAAATATGAAAAAACAAAACATTCACTAAATCAGTTACACACATCTATAAATATACATAGATGAAATGTGTGTGTGTGCGTGTTTACCCTAACTTCTCCAAGTCTATTGGGCCAATCTCAACCAAAGTTTGTATGTAAACACTATGAACTATGGGGAATGTCCTAAGGGGGTCAAAATTGTACTTAATCCTATTTCTATTTAGTACAGCCTGATGATTAATTAATCTCAGCCTACCCAGTCAATCTCAAACAATTTTGGAAGGTTAATGTTTAAACAATGTTCAATATTCTAAAGGGATTCAAGGTCAAAATATGAAAGTTGCTGGACTGTTTCTCAAACAACCATGCTTTTCTCATAGTCAGTGTTGTTTATGAAAAAGCTTTGTTATAATTTTAAAACTTTTAGATAAAGTTTATGTTCAAGTTATTACTTTGAAATATATGATTGTTGTTAAACTTGCATTGTTTTAATTAAGTTTAAACATTCCCCATCAGTTGACAGGTATTTCAGCTTGTTATGCAATATTAAAAAAACAAAAAATGTGATAAGAACATTTCTGCCTGGATGGGGAATCTCATTCAATGTCAATTACAGGCTTGCTTAGCAAGTTTTTTGGTACCACAGGAAAATCATAAATGATTCTGAAATAACTGATGATTTATGTATTAATGATGATACAAGGATGAAAATGAGCACCAGCTGTTTTACACAGATAGCAGAACTTTACTGAAAAGAGAGGTTTTGATAAAGACCTTAAGAAGGTTAAAGTGACAATGTTTCAAAAGTCTTTTGTCTTAAAAAAAAAATGATTGTAAAGTTCCACTATCTGTGTAAGGCAATTCACACAAGTTTCAGCCATATTTTTTATCCTTAAATGTTAATTTACTGCCCATATCAAAAATAAAATTATGATCATTCCCTAAATTATGAGGTCAGTACATCACACTTTACATATTAATTGTTGGACTTGTATGTACTATTAATCTATCAGTAGTTGTAGTTACATGAAATACAGCAAGGGCCCATTCAGTCCTTCAAAGACAGTATACCCCTGCATACCTTATGTTTCTACTCTTGACAAAATCAATTAAGCCCACAAATTTTCAGGAAATTATTGACTCCTTCTTTTATTGAGTTTTAAGCTCTTGTAAAGTACAATTACCAATACCATTACCAGCCTTCAATACTGCTGATGGCAAACTCATTCCATAAAATTAAAACACTCACTCTGTTACAAAAATAATCTTATCTCGTAAGTTGTATTGAAACTTCTTCCAAGTTCCAGCTAAGAATCAATAAAGAAACGTTATTAGAACTACTAGTACCAGGATTCTTAATAAAATTATTATTCATTAAAATCTTCAAAACCTAAATATATTCAATATCGAAAAATTATGCTGCGCCAAGAAGTTTTACAAACTACAGATATGAAACTTCAAACTTTTTACTCCACAAATTACCTCGGCTGAAACAAATGATATTACTTTCTGGCACAAGCAAAACTATGAAAAAGCACCAGAAGGAAAAAAATTAACATTACAGCTAAGTAGTAATCCTGGATCATAAGTTATAACGTCACTGGAATTTACCTTTCCTCAGGCAACAAGTATTAGAATTACTACCCCTAATATATATAAAGTTACTGAATAACGTTATTATCAATATCACTACTGAGAAGAGAATGGTTTTCACTTTCATCAACAGTAACAGATTTATCAGTTCTTCCAATATCTATTTTCTTCGAACAGTGTTTCTAGGTTTACAACAAAATTACCATCATAACTATTTTGACAGGTGTGAGAAAGCATCATCTACTAAAAGATTACAGATACTTATTTATATGTGTGTGTGATTTATTTAAATATATTTAAATTTATAAAAAATAACTTACAAACGTTTTGTAACGATCACTACTTCTAAAGAAGTATCTGAATTGGAACCTTAAAAAAAACTTATATTATGTTAATACTAATTATAAAATACGATTTAAAACTCATTACATGGGAATGTTATTAATGATAAAAAATATAAAAAAACCAGAAGGTCTGAAATGGTCTGGTAATTAGGGCGCTCTATCACAATCTCCATATCACGAAATTGAAACCGTCCTTTCAACCGGGGTGCATTATAAACTAATGGACAATCACGCCATTCGTTGGCAAAGAGTAGTCAAAGAGTTAGTGGTGTTCGCTAACTTTCTTCCGTATAGTCTTTCACTTCAAAATTAAACAAGAGTAGCGCAGATAGACCTCGTGCACCTTTGGGCAAAAATTCAACTACAAACAGTTTCAAAGGCTCAACATCATGATAAATTGCATTCAACAGAAGTAATAATAGGTAGGCAAACACCGACTTATAAACATAAGGATAGTTTTATTGATGGTGGAACATACTACATGTTTTGACAGAAAATTCGTCTGTCTTCTTCAGGTATGAGCAGTACTAAGCAATACAAGGTTTATGTATCGTAACAAAGACAATAGGGATTAAATGTGACGGAAATGGTGTCAAAAGGTGACAGGATATAGGTAGAGGTCAATCTGTTCAAGTGTATGAACGGTGAATAACCTTGCCAAATACGGTTGATTTTGCTAGGGCCATTATCACGGTATAGTTAGAGATCATGATTAAAGCAGATCATCTGCTTTGATCATATCTATAGTTTCTAAAGAGTCTCATTCCCTTTTTAGTTTTGGATTGGTGTAGGAGAGTAATTTCATCCAAAAGTATTTTGTGACCTGTTTCATATTGATGATATGTTAAGGTAGATATCTAGAATTAATCTCTACACATGTGACCTTGGCGTTCTTTGCGTCTTATTTCTATGTATTTCTTTCCACATTCCCATGGGATACTTTATGTGCCTTTTTTTGTTCTTGTAAATAGGGATTTTATCGGGTTATGTAGTGTTACATCTCTGGTCGTTAGTTCATTTTCCGTAAAAATTCTCTCCGAAGAAACTTTAGCGATACAAGTCCTTTCTCAAATAAAACTGGTTTATTCTTTTTGAATACAACTTTTCAATACACTTAATTTCCACAGTCACGCTATAACAAACGCTATAATTCACAACGAATGACTCACGTGCTCGACTCAACTGTCCGTCTCTATCTCTGACTACAGTTCAATTACATTTTGCAGTCACCTCTTACCGGTCTTATATATACAAGAATACCGCATATCTAGTAAACACTCGAGGATTCACGAACCTCCGAGAATATGACGTGTTACTAGCGTCACGTGACCCCCGCTGTCGTAACACTGCCCCTTCCTTAGTATTGTTCGTCCCGAACAATAGCCACTTACATTAAACCAATAAACAATTAACAATAACTTAATTTAATGTACAGAATTTACAAACACAAAAGTAAAATTCAACAAAGTCTCTTAATTTTACGGACGTATCATCTTTCATCTTCCGTACTGGTCTTCGTTTCGTTGGCTTTTGCTTCATTTGGGGTTCATCTGCTTCATCAGGAAACGTCTTATCATTGGTAACAGTCACATCAGTGGTAGTAACTTCATCAAGAGCTTCACTGTTTCCCTTCTCAAAACCGAGTAGAGTTTCTTTTTTGACAGAAGCTTTTTCAGGGGACACGTCTTCAGCAGCGCCATTTGTTCCATTTTCACTTCATCCCAACTGAAATGTCCTGGACCATGATAACGCCAAAGCCTGTTGGCATGCACCACCTTTGGCTTACCTCGCCGACCACATTTTATTCGGAAAGTAATGTCTGAGAGACGATCCACTATGTCATATGGGCCTTCCCATGGAGATGACAACTTAGGAGACTTCCCTTTGGTCTTCCTGGGATTATACAACCACACCTTGTTTCCTGGTACAAAACTGACTTCAGTAGATCTCTTACCATAAGATAACTTCATCGAATCAGCAGACGTTTTCAAGTTTGAATGCACTTGATGGTGAATATCATCCATCCTTTCTGATAACACTTTCACAAACTCTGACACATTTTCAGGCAACTCTTCATAAGGTGGGCATCCTGTTAACAGATCCACTGGCAACCGAAGTTCCTGACCAAACATCAACTCTGCAGGAGTGTATCAAGTGGTTTCATGTTCTGCTGTCCTACAGGCCATCAACAATGGAGGGAGTAAGATATTCCAGTCATCTTGGCAGCTATTACAAAACTTTGCCAATTCTTGTTCCAGTGTCCAGTTGTACTTTTCTACCATCCCATCGGACTGCGGGTGGAGTGGCGTTGTTCTTGTCTTTCGTATGCCAAACAACTTGCAACATTCATTGAACACAGCTTATTCAAAGTTACGGCCTTGATCCGAATACAGTTCATATGGCGTACCAAATCTGAAGAAGAAATCACTAATAGCCGAAGCTACAGTTGTAGCTTCCTGATTTGGTATTGCATATGCTTCAAGCCACTTGG